AACCCCACACCAAAAATAGTGCCGACAGATATGCAGGTACCCTCTAACCCTCACCAAAAAAGAGAGCATGTGGATGAAAAAATTGGTTGACCACACGATTCCTCTTAATCAACAGAAAACTACACAAGTCATGATCTTCGTGATAGAATTTGGCTTAGTCTTCACTGAGATAACACTACACCGTTGATAATTGCCCTAAGTTCCTAGTATAGAAGCAACCACAATCTGCATCTCAGCTGGCCTCTATAAATTACAAGTTCATCGCCAAACTGATCAATGGCCCTCTCATTTGGGCAAGTGTCTTGAAACCTAATAGCCGAGTCAAATACAAAGGCCCCCTCTACAAAGGTTACATCTGATAAGGATAAAATCGATTGTTAGGTCGTGATTACCACACCAAAAGTTTGGAGAGTATGCTTTGGAGCCATCAGAGAATGCAAAAAGAAATGAATCTAAAGTCAATTGAAAGGAAAGGCCACAAGGAAGAAAGAAAGCTGAGTGATAGAAGTCTAGAGAAAAAGATAGCAAGTGTGCAAATAAACACCACAAACCCAATTTATAGGGACACAACGAAAGAGGAAACATTGTATAAGGATTTCAAGAGGAAACATTACATCAATACATAAATTGACAAGAAAAATGAAAATAAAATATTTTTTAATTAATTACATTCGGATCCTAGTCTAACAGAAGGCACCGTACAAGTTGGTTCTCAGATTCCTCGATCAGGATAAAACCCTTCCTAACTAATCTTCTATACAACATTTGACCACTAAGCTTGAACTTATTTGTTTGGTCAGCCTTAGCATGAGCTCTCCATACAAAGGCATCTTCTCAAAGTATAGATACTTCTCAGCAAAGAGAAGTAGTTTCCCCTTGCATATCCTCCAACTAGATCAACACTCAGTGGAGATCCACTTCTCACTAACCCAGAGCAACCTGCATTCTGTCAACACAATAATCATTATTCTCGTGGATGTTCTGCGATCAAATGGCTACCTACCAACGAAAAGATAAATGACCAGAATCCCCTTAGATGAAAAGCTACAAGTTCTCAAGAATCTAACTGGTTGAAGATCACTCAATCGACTATATACCAGCAAAGTAAAGGGTTGTTGATCGAACAAATGTCTGACAACCAAAGAACTACCCAGGCTGATTAGCGATAGTAATCCACACCAATAACTGCTCAGAGGTCCAACACCCCTAACAATCTCACAAGTATCAACGTAAAACTCTCTCAACAGTTCCCCAAAGTTCACCAGAAATCACCAAGTAACAATAATCAAGCAAGCTGACTGGTCACCTAAGGCCTACTGGCTACCTACTAAAAGTTGACAGGCTTCCCAAAGCAAAAACCGACTGGTGTCCAAGACGAAAGCCAACCAAAACCAGCTCAGTCAACCTACTTAAAGACCTGACGAGCAGAAGGTCCAGGTGGGCAAAAAGACAATAATACCCTATACAACCCCTATTAATGTAGAGGAAAGCATGTTATTTTACCCTTTATCTCTTTATCTTCTATAAATAGGAGGACCCTAGCATATATTAGAGCATTTTTTACCCTTCTCTCTAGATTCATATGTGCAACCCCTATTAATGTAGAGGAAAGCATGTAATTTTACCCTTTATCTCTTTATGTTCTATAAATAAGAGGACCCTAGCATGTATTAGAGCATTTTTTACCCTTCTCTCTAGATTCATCTTCTTTAGTGAGATCTCTCTCCCTTTCTATTTTATAATCGCTACTTTCAATATATAAAATGGGTCATAGAGACAAAAAATACGTTATTCGTCCCTACAAGTGAAGTCTCCCTTACCATAATCCTAGGGCATGGTACCATTTCAACTGGGCTAGGTGTCATGATTTTTTTTTCTTTTTTGGGTTTTCTACATAAGAAATCTCAGTGTGCCCTCTAACAATTCTTCTTTTAACTTTATGTGTCAAATCTTCATATCATATTAAGAAGTTTATATTACTCTTTCGTCATGAATCATCTAACACATAACAATAATCATACTAAATCATAGTTATGGATTAAAATGTGTGACTTTTAAATAAATTAATGTTTATGTTATTTTTGAAGTTATATTAAAATTTAAACTATCCATATGCTTATCTAATTTTTTTAAGGACATTTACATACGTATCACACAATTCTTACGTATTTGCATTTCTAACAACTAAACATTCATATTTGCGTACATATTACTCTGAATTTTTAACATCACATTAAAAATATCACAATCACTATATTTTTAAAAGTGAAATATATATTTTTATGCATAAGTTTATGACACAAAAGTTGTGTTATAAGTGAAAATATCAAATTTTGAGTGTTCAATATGTAAATACAAAAAAATTGCATGGTGTAAATATCGAACTATACATAAAACTTTATGGTATCGGTGTAAATTTCCGTTTTTTTTTTTATTCACCAAACAATCCAAGTAGCTTCCAACATCCGCAATGCAAGCTCACTACGCTGAAGCCTTTTGCCGCCACAACCTTCTCCGCCCGCTTACAGGGTTCCGCTTCTGCGCTAGCCGACCCTTGCCGCACTTCTCATCCGCCGCAGTTAGTTTTTCCTTTAATCTTTCTGACAGAGATAGGCGGCCTCAGGTTTGGAAGCAAAGGGCGGGAAGGTATGAGACGGTTAGGGCCAAAAAGAAGGACAATGTTTGGAGTATCGACAACGAGCTTGCGTCCAAGAAAGCCGCGGAGGAGAAGAAAGGCTTGAAACGGAGGAGGAAGCTGAGGAAAAAGGTGAAGGACTCCAGCAGGAGTGGGGATTCTACCGTGATGGTTTCCGGGGCTATGCTGACGGAAGTAGAGACTGTACTCCAGACTCAGGTTGGTTTGAGGATTGACGATTGTAATTTAGGAGTGTTTAAGAAGAACCGAAGAACCAATCCTAACCGAACAGGCCAATTTGGTTTGATTGTAGTGCGAGCCTGGTTGGTCTGGTTCTTAAAATGCTTCAAATCAATTTAATGTGTTAGTATTCGGTTCTGGTGAGTGATATGGCCTAATCTAATCAATTTTAAAAGTAAGTTTACGTTTAAATGGCAAATAATGAAAGTAGAAGATGGTTTCATATTGTTATTTTGTTGTGCTCATGTAGATGGAGGTTAAATAAAGTGCATTACAGTTGCACATATATATAATTTGAATTGCGGAATGAATGCTTTGAAGTCACCATGTATGTTGCCATTTGATAACAAGCTGTTGTGCTTTATATTTCTATTTGTCATATATTTTGACCAAGCAAATGTCTAAATTTGAACTAGAAAATAAAACTTAATCGATAAATTTGGATCTAGTTTGTTTTGATCCACTTTGAGTCGGGTATGATTCCAAAAATGGTGTGGTTGAATGTATTCGGTTTTGGTAGTAGTTTGGCTTAGATCTATAACGATCTGACTTGAGTTGCACCACTAGATTATATTTTTTTTTTACCCTACAATAGCTATTCAATGCACCTACGAGCCATTTCACATTGATATATTGAGTTCATTTGATTGTTTGTAAAATGAAAAAAAGAATTTTTAACAAAATGCTTTTATTATTATTCATTTTAAATTTGAAAAAGAATTCCTCACTTGTATAAATTAAAGTTGTTTACTAATTTGAATTTTTCAATTTATTTTTAATTACATTTAAATAAATAATGGAATTTAGAATATTTGTTATGCTTCAAATCATGTTTTTCTAACTTCTAGCAACCATTGAGCTTAAATTGACATATAAAACATGTGGTGAAGGTTCTTGAATAGATCGGTTGCAACACATGATTGGGTTTAGCAACAGTTATTCCGTTAAGTTGGCTCCAAATTGTTTGGATGAGGCTTGAAACTTCTAACTATCAAGTTGATTGCATCCAACAAATATTTCGTTTTTCTCATATGGTGTGATAGAATATTGCTTTGAATTAGGGTACCATTTTCCATATGCAAGCAACTTCATTAAATTATTTTTAGAGCCATTTATGTTTATGATTTTGATATATATTTGGTGTGTGTAGACTTTAGGATCACCTACTTTTGATAGCTTAAGATCCCGTGTGGACTTCGTAAAGGACGCGCAGTAGGTGAACATTGAATCAATGGAAGGCATACTATGTCAAGTATTCCCCATCTTTGGAGGGAACCCCAAGAAGAGAGGAACTAGGCGACATAATCAAATTTACCCCACACAATACATGGCATTAAATAGGTTTTATTTTGATTATTGGGTTTGGTTTCTTATGTGCACAAGCTGCTATTGTTAATTTCATTTCGAGGATGTACTTGAGGAGCATTATCAATTAAAAATGATTATTCATATCTTTTGGGGTTACCTAGGGGTATGTCCTAGTGAGAATGACTAGCAGCTCTATCAAATAATAAATCAAATATAGATAGAGTTATTATTTCTATGAAAGCATGCAAAGCAAGTGGCATAGTCATACACCACAAGCACTTCATTATTGCAAGATGATGTAAATGTTTACATTGAATTTATCTCTGCATAATCACTATAATGTAGCAACGAGTTGATTGCATCCAACAAATTTTGCTTTGTTCATTTGGTGTGATAGAATATGGCTTCAATAAAGGCTGTCATTTTCCATATCTAAGTAACTATATTGAATTATCTTTTATGATTAATTGATTTATATAGCCATTTATGCTTATGATTTTGATCTATAGATGTTATTTGGCCTATTATTTGGTTTTGTTGCAATGTATTAATTAGTTATTGAGTATCTTATTTTCATTTATATAGTATTAAAAGACTTGAACCATTTTTCTAAGAACAGTTTTGGAATAATGAGACTAAACTTCCCCACAAGGCATTCAATACTAGCATGTTATGTTAGTGTGAAATTCATAAATGGAATACTATGCAAAACCTTAGACCTTAGATTCCATGCACTAAAATCAATGCTAAATAAAAAGTATACAAGGCTAAATTGGAGCTATTTTAAACATGATCTATTCTCATAGGGCTTATTCACAAGCCTCATCCAATATTATAGTTTTCCCTTTATGTTGTATATCCTTTAATATATAAATTGTTATGATTGAATTCTGAAATTCTATTTATATTCAGTGGCAAAGTCATATTTTTAAACCGAGCTTTTCAATTATGTTGGGTTTTTTTATAGAAACCAAAATCATCAACCAACTAAAGAAAGAGTATATCAAAGACATTTAACAAGAAATGTAAGAGAAAAAAAAAAAGAAAACAATATAGTAGAAAAGATACATAGATTTCATTTGGGTCACCTAGTTTGAGGCCTAGTGAAAATAGAAGAGCACTGATAAATGTTCTTCTAATTTTTGCCTCGCATGGTATAAAGAACTTGAAATCTTTTATTCAGGAGAGAGTCAATACCTGGAAAGCTCCAAACAGAATCAGAAACCTGCTATTATAAATCACAATTTTGTTTACCTTGTGGGAAGATGTTGCTGCATTTCAATAACTTTTTGAGTATTCTTGGTGATAATATTAGCAGATGATTGTATAATCACCACCAATGGGCTACTTGGGGAGGAACATTAGCCATAACACCCTAAAAAAATTAAACATGGCACAAAATTTTGGGACAAACCTGAACATATGAGGAATGATCTTCAAAAAGATAGTTTGAAAGATAGACAATCCATCTTGGCCTAGTGGTTGAGAGCTTTGTTTTTCAACCAAAAGGTCCTGCCTCAAGGCCTTGCATATGTGGTGTTTGTGCATTTGAGTGTGTGTATTTAGGACTGTCAAAAAAGCTTGTCGTTTGCGAACAACTCGTGTTTGGTTCGTTAAATAGTCCGTGTTCGATTCTTTTGTTAAACAGGCGAGCCAAACACGAACAATTTTTTTGAGCTCGATGTATAAACGAGCTAAACACGAACAAATGTTTGTTCGTTCTTATTCGGCTCGTTTTGGCTCGAATTAATTAAATGATTAAATAATAATATTATTTGTATCATTTTATATTAATATTTTATATATATAAAATGCTAAATATTATTATTTCTAAAAGTTATTTGGTTGGTATACTTATAAAAATATAAGTTTAGGTGTTAGATATGTAAATAAATAGGATTAGGGCAGTGTGTTTGTAAATGTTTTTAAAATTGACCATCCAACATGCAGTTAAAGTGAGAATGTGACATCACCTTACCATTCGTTTTCTAAGCACCGGTTTCTCTGATTTAGGATGTATATATGTAAATAAATAAGAATTATGTGGTATATATTTAAATGTCATGAGATTTTTCCATAAAAGTCCCTTTTTTGATGTGATATTATATGTAAATACATAAAGAATTGGGTGATATGTATGTAAATTTCCTCACAATTTTTTGGTTCCTTATCAATTCATGGGAAGTAATTCCAATTAGAAATTCTATATAAATGTAAAAACGAAACGAAAATTCTAGTTTTCTCCTGCCCTTGATTGGCAAACGAGACGGAGTCATTTCTTCTTATTTTGGAAGTATGTTAAAATAAAAATTTTAAGAAATGAGAAGAAATCATTTCTTCTTATTTTTGGAAATATACTAGAATAAAAATTTAATTTGGAGTCAAATTCTTGAATAGAAAAAATATGCAAAATTGTGTAGCTCATATTCGAGCTAAACACATGCTAATACGAACAAATTCAAGTTTAAATCAAATCAAACAATGACAAGACTTTCACGAGCTATTTCAATCACGAGCTCATTTCAAACACATTAAGTTTGAAATGAGTCGAACACGAATAAGCGCTGGGCTCACTCATGCTTTTCTTGTTTACATATCTTTGTGTATTGGAAAAAAATATTAAAATTAAGTTTGAAAGATCAATATGAACTTCAGGTGAAAGTATATCGACTGAAACTAAGAATCTCAGCTTGGGATGAGCCTTAAAGCACTCAACTAATTTATGCCAAAAAATAAGGCAACGTGTCTTCTAGTCTTTGAACTTGGAATACCTTGACGATAAAGACAATATCTAGGCAGTAAAAGATTATCAGATAGAGTTTTTAAATAATTACCTAAACATTTCAAAATAATTTATCAATATTTTTTTTAATATTCATCTTTCGATGATTAAAAGAGCTATTGATCCATGCAATTTTAATTGTTTGCATAATCAAACCACCTTTCTAACTTTTTTAATTCTCAAGATCAATATCTTGTTCTGCATATATTGATTAAATAACAATAACAAAAAAAAAATTATATGCATTCTAGTTTCATATTTAAAATAAAGAAAAATAAAAGAAAAGTGCTTATGATTTGAATTTCAACTATGACCATAAATTTTGTTTGACAATTAAAGTGATGTATAATTGTAGAATCATAACATTCATTTTTCTAGTAAGAGTTGAATGCGTTGAGTTCATCATATCTTGACTTATACATATATTTAATAATATCATCTTTCTTTAATTTATACTTTTATGTATCCATCTCAAAAGCATCGTATATACAAAAATCAACGCACCCTTAAATCTCTTGTCAGCGTAGCGTGGTGTAAAGCTTATTCATTTTTATTTGAGATAGGCATCAAACTCACCCTTGGTCGAAACATTTTTGGTTGACATAATGTGTTGTAGCCCTTAATTTTCTTATTGTCTAAGTGGATAGTAAAGGCCATCAATGAGTGGGTACGTTACCATTTCTTGTTAGTTCCATAAGTGGTATGAAAATCCAAATATTCATATGACAAAGAAACACACGCACATGCGCGTGCGCACACACACACATGTATATATATATGCGCTGCATACTCAGATCAGTTAGTCGGACATCTGCTTGTCAGTTGTAAGTTCCCTCTGGTCTGGGATTCGATTCCCCCCGGTGGAGGGTGTGGTACTCGAATGGTAAGGCGCATCGGGAATGGTCCGGACTCGTATGATAGTTTCAAGCCCTTCCTTTTTTTTTTAAAGCCCCTTCTCCCAGGGAGTCTGGACCTTCCCTCCTACAAAACGTGAAGATCAACACTATGCAGCTGGAGTGGAACCTTTTGACATCTTGTTGGGTTGGATGGCAGGAGCTGTTGTTAGCCCCAATCCCTTTTATTAATGCATGGTTCATTTGGGCTGCCAGAAACCAAGTTAAGTTTGAGGAAAAATCCTCCACTGCTCTATAGGTGGCTTCCAATTGTCTAGCCTTTGTCAGAAAACTCATATAGTTTAAGAACTTCCCCAACATATTGAACATAATGAGAGTCTCTGGCTCTAATATCTCCTCAGTGGTCAAAGTCTTCTAGGAAAAACTTGCTTACCCTACAGTCAAAGTCAACACTGATGACAACTTCTTCCCTCAAGGGGCTGGCATTGGAGGTGTATTCAGAGACCACTAAGGAAGATGTTTGTTATATTTTCATTCCCCAATTTTTGCTAAAGATGCTCTAGAGACTGAATTTGTGGCAGTGTTTTGGGCTCTCAAATTGGTCATTCTAAACAAATGGCCTTCTCTAGAAGTTGAAATGGACTCTTCTCAGCGCTTCGCTTATGCGACTGATCACAATAACCCTCCTTGGCATATTCTCCAGTGGATTAAACTGATCCAAAACTTGATGAATGAGATTTCTGTCACTTTCACCTTTATATACAAAAAAGAAAATCAACATGCAAATTTTTTGGCTAAGTGTGGGGGAGAGCCCCAGTTTGTATCAGTCTCTACTTCTCCTACCCCTCCTCTTTGTTTTTTGCTTCAGGGGGATCTGTTCAATGCCCCACACCTTAGAATTGTAACTTCTTTTTGATCTCAATAGAAATTCTCATATTTTTGTCATATATATATACATACATATGTATGTACATACATATGTATGTATGTATGTATGTATACATTTATTTATATTTATTTATTTTTTTTTAAACTCAAAATATTATTTTAGGATAAATCACAATGTAATACAATATAATAGTTATAGCATGACTTTGAGATGCATAATTCATCTATGTCAATATGGATAATCATTTAGTGTTGAGATAAATAAATCAATGTAGACCATTTGTTGTTATGGTTAAGGGCAATCAATCATTTCCATGCACTTTGACAAATACAAACAACAAGCCGAGATGAAGTGAGTATTACTCTAATTTAGAAGTCTAATCACTTACCCTGAGATGCGCTATTGTTAATCAACCTTGTTTTCATCTCCTTCAGGATCAGTCCCTTTAACCAACCTCAATTCCAAATATCATATATGTATATAATAAAATTCATTTGAATTCTTTTACAACCATTCATATCTTAACTTTACTTCTTAAATTAATATTTTTTCACCATTAACTTTATATATCTATATGTAAACAATCATTTACAATTCTTTGACTCTTTTCCTCTCAAGCAATATTAATTTTTTTCTATATTTAAAGAATTTAATAGCTTGACTTAGTTCAAGTAGTTTTATTATAATAATAAGTAATTAATTTATTTTCAAGGAACATAGACTTTCTCTATCTAAATGTAGATTTTTTTTATTGTATATAAAAATTATACCTATCCTTCACATGAGCCATAACTCTTTTCCTTTTTAAGATCATCACAAATATAAAACTTAATATTATTAATAATATCCTATTATATGTTTCTTTAATTACCTATAGCCTAACCAACCGGTTATGAATAATTTAATATAAAAATATATGATTAAAATAATTACCAAGTATAAACGTCTTTTATAAAATGCTTTCATCATTAACATTTTAAATCCTAACTCAATTCTATATTATGATAAAGTAATGCTAATTTAATTTTTCTAGTAGTAATTGATTCTTGTGAGTTAGTACACATCAATCCAAGTGAAAGAAAACCTCAATTTGAATGCAAGCTTCATACTATTTCCTCTCAATCATAAATTAAGGAGACTTAGGTTTGTGGTTTACCTCATCAACCGTGAAGAAAGAGTCTCTTATGTTTGATTTTAAGCCCTAATTGTAGGGACCATGTTTTTTGCCTAGGGTTGTTAAAGATTTGATTTCGAGCCGAGCTGGGGTCAACTCAAAAATCTGCTCGAAAAATTTTGATCTAATTTTTTAGCTTGTGTCTTGGCTTGTTTATTTCGATCTGATCGCGATCCGGGCCCAAATTCTAATCAATTTTTGAACGGTTAATGATCTTCAAACTAAATTCGCTAAATTCACAACCCTAACATTAGAAGAACCATTAATGATTCGATTTCGAGCTGAGCTGGGGTCGCCTCAAAATCGGTTAAAAAAAAAACTCAATCCAATATCTTGGCTCGTAGATTGGCTCATTTATTTCGATCCGATCTCAAATATTTGAATCAATTTTTGAGCGATTAACGATCTTCGAGCTACATTCTTAGCTCTATTTATGTCATAGCTCGTGCTCGACATATTGGTGCGCACAAGTTGTTCATCCTTGCCTTCTGGTTTGCTCAACCTCCCCGCTCTCTCTCATTCTTTATCTCACACACCGCATGCTCTCTTAGGCATGTCAATTCTGGTTGACGGGTGGGGTTTGGGTTTGACCACAAAGTTTATTCGATCGAACATGCTTGGCCTAAAATCTACTAATTTATTATATTTGATAAAACATTTGGCATGAACCTAACTTTAAACGAACATGCCTAACCCAAAATTGACTTTTTTAACCCATTTATTATGAGAATTTTGTTTTTTTTTGTGATCAACACATTCTAATCAACCCTTACATGGTTGGTTTAATCTAATTCGGTCAATTTTGAGTTATTCTGGTTAATTCTAATCTCGTTTGAGTGATAATAGAGTTTGTAATTTTTGACTCAAATCCGACTCAAAAAGTAATTTTGAACTCCAATTTTTTGAGTCTGGCTTGGGTTATTTGCAACCTTATGATTTCCCTTCCTCTTTCCCAATCTTCTTTTCCTCTTGATCTCACGATTTGTCTTTGGAATGTCTCACAATCGCTCTTCTCTGATTTTGTTAAATATGGGGCTAGGTGTATTATTTTAAGTTGGCAGGTCAGGTTCAAGTTTGACTTGAAGTTGACCCAAACCTCATGCATTTATTATATAGGTCAAAATATTTGACCAGAATATAACTTGTTTAACTTGTTTATTATTTTAATCATATAATTTTTTGGATCAAAATGACCTAATTAACCTAAATATGACTCGTTTAGCCCAATTAACCTAAATATGACTCGTTTAACCCAATTAACCCGACCTAAATTCATCTAACTTGACCAAAAATAGTAATATAGTGAACCTGAATCCCGATTTTTTGTGTTCTATTCGGGCCAGCTTTTGGGTTGTGTCCTTCATAGACTACCATAGGGGCCAACTAAAATCAGTTCAGATGAATCAACAATAGACGGTCTATATATTTATTAGAAAAAAAAAAAACAAACAAACTGAGCTTTACATGTCCTATATGTCATTCAAATCATAGATGAATGCTTAATTTTTGAAGATTTACTCCCTCTTTAGATTATGTTTTCACTTTTCAGTATTATGCAAACCAATTCTTAATGCATGACTTTTTTTTTTCACAGGAACCAGTCATTAAACCTTCTTGGGATATCTTTGCAAGCAGTCTTACTGGGATTTGGAAAGGTCTCGGAGCAGTTTTTTCTCCTTTCACTGCTGAGATGGAGCCTATTGGTGTTGGAAATCAAAATGAAAATCTTTTTGATTGCTACACTCTTTCACGCATTGAAAAGGTACCATCTCAAGATTCTCTCTCTCAAATTCATAGGAAGACAAGTCGGGTGGCTTTGAACCCATATGGGGAAACAAGGAAGCATGCTGATCTCTCTAATCGTGCAACTGGAAGTGTTAAATCTTCCATCGCTGGTAAAGTAAATTCGGATGCAGGTGATATGGAATTTGATTTGCCTTGTTATGAGTCATTTGACCTTGAGCACAGTGAAATATCTGAAGAAGATTCAATGAGCGTGGAACCAGGCCTGGTTTTCTTTGAGGTATGAGTTACGTTTGAATGTTAGCCCGATGGTAAATATATCTGTGATATCCATTCGTTCATGTTATCTCAATGATTTTGTTTAATTTTTTTTTGTGATTCGATTAATCTGTTAGCATATTTCTACCATCTTTTGGTGTTATGGTTGCTATTCGTTGATATGAAATATTCCTCTGTCTTTTTAAAATACTTCATGCTTCAATTGGCTTTGTGAACTCCTCGTAGTTGTTAGTTTAGTGAAAGCATACTTTATTTTGGTTTATGTTAAGTTGTGGGAGTGATGGTGAGAGATAAAGTTAGAACTGAACTTTTTAAGGTACCACAACCTTGTTTTCAATTAGTTGAACAGGGCTTTTTGAATTCGTTGATCAAATAAATGGAATGACACGTTTGCTACAAGTCTTAATAATATGGCTTAACAACTATTATGTCACAAGAAAACAACTAGTGTTCTCTAGAGTTTGATGACCTTGGAACATGTTCTGGATTTTTGTTCCTTCATAGCATTTATTCATTTTAAAAAACATGAAGAGGAGTTTTAAAACAAGCTAGTATTAGTTTCGTAATCTATGCCAATAAAGTAGTAATGCTACTCATGTTTGTTAACAATAGATTAATTTATGTGTTGCAACCTTTCCTTTATCTTAAAGCATGGAGGCATTTTTAAGAAAGAACCTTGACAAAACTAAGCCATAGTTAGATGTCCAGAGATCCTTACATCTTCTAGAACTGGTGAACTTTCTAGATAATGCTGGACAGTGTGTACCACTAAAAGCTGCATATAATATACATATTTAAACAAGTTCAAATCTTAGCATAAATGAAATTTGATGGTTATAACAGGGAAAGGTATTCATTACATTAATGCATCAGTGTACTTGACTTATGATTTTACCTTGAATGCATTTTCTGATTGCACTAAATTGATGTGGAAAATGTATTTTTTGTTCGTTAAAACTCTAGAAACTTCACATTTGTAAGAGTGCACATCTGCTTTGGTCAGCTTAGATCTTACCTGTCTAAAACTTGAATTGCACTTTTTAAATTTTCAGGAGCAGGACATTGACATGGGGACCTTTAGTTGAACTGGCATGGGTCGTTTGAAGCTGAATAGTCTGGTTAGGTTCTTAGATTTATAGAGCTTAACTATTTTTTGGTTGGAGGTTTAATGCAATACTCTATCTGATAAAAGGTGCTCCGTAGCTAGGCTGCATAACCATGGTTATCCTGGAATACAGCAACTGAACTTACTGATTGAATGTTTGAAACCTATGAAGAGCATTGTCAAATACAAATTTTGCAAGGCTAAATGACCCAACATAAGAGTAATCAAAATCTGCACTCAATATTGTAGATCGAGCCAAATTTTGATTCAATTGCGGTAACAGGTTGTTTTCTGTTGTATTGTAGTTTCATAAAAAATAAAACTATTTATAATGTCATGGTATATGAACCAACAAATCGAACTCAGTTTTTAAAAATAAATATTTAGGCTGATAAACCTAAAGCCAGCAGATAAACTTTAGTAGAAACTGAAACAAGACAAAAAATTAATTTCAAATAGATTGTGAACAAACCTTTTTTTTTGTCATTTCAATTTCATTCATTAGAACGAGGATGCACCAAGTGCATGCAAATCATAGTTAATGACGTTTTTGGAAGTAAATATTATGTTTGCAGGATATTCTAGGGTCTAAAAACTCTAATGCTGATATATGTGTAGTCAATTTATTCATTTTGTCACGACCCGACCTCGGGAGGTTAGAATACCAAAGCGAGAACAGACGGTCGGACGAAAAAAACTATCTAAATATTTTTATTTATGAAAAAAAATCATCTAATATACAAAAGAGCCATTCTATTACACAAATTTATGCTGTAAACTTTCATAACTAATTTAAAACATTTAGAACTAAAAGAAAATTAAAAGTTTAATTGTAGTTCCTTTCTCCTTGAGCGCCTTGGCATATGTATGAATGTTCTTTATGATCCATCTATTCTAAAACAGGTCGTCCTGAAAAATTTTAGCAGTCGACAATATGAGTTATACTATGGGTAAAATACTTTTAAATTGCAACAATTCTTTTTTTTTGTGTAAAACAGTAAAAGTAAAATGACTATAAGCAAAAAAAAAATAATAAAAAAGAAGCAATAAATAAATCAATTTTTTGGTTACTTTTATTCATTTCAATTAAAATATCTACAGCGAGAGTTCCTTTTGTATATGTTTAATCTTTTCCAAAATCCACCAAAAATGTATGTGATGATTTTTATTTCCACTTTCATTTTTATATTCACTTTCATTTTACTTGCACGAGAACATTGCATTCACTGCTAGTACCTTTCTGGAGGTGACTACACATATGCACACATATATCATTTTCTTTATTCAACATTTAAAAAATATGGAATTTGTATTTTAAAAGTATTAAAAACAGTACAAATAGTTGCAATTGCTTTGATAAATAAAAGAACTAATGTAAAATACAAATATATTTTCCCACCTATTTAGTGTTGTCGATTATCCTTTTTTTCAATCAATCCATTCCTTAGTGTAGATATAATAATACATCAAATTTAATTAATTTTATTATATTTTCTACTTTGAATTATTTTCTTATCTTTCTATTTTAGCCTCGTTATTATATATTTTGTTTCGGCTACATGTACGAACATTTAAATTATAACTTTTAAATTGGTGTTGAAGACTCTTAAAGTTTAATTTAAATCTTCATCTAATCTATTTAACATTTACAACATAAATTGTTACGATTGCACAATGAACTGTACCAACAAATTCTCTCTTGCTTGTACCAACAAATTCTCTCTTGCTTTACTGATTGCCGATTCTCTCTTGCTTTCTCTTGCTTGTACCAACAAATTCTCTCTTGCTTTACTGATTGCCGATTCAAGTCAAAACCTTGAAATTTCGATAACATTAATTTACGAATTTTGACTTTAGGGTTCTCTAAAATTCAGTATAGATTATCGAGGAATAAATTTTTGTAGCATTAAAATAATAAAATTTAAAAAACCCAACATTATAATTCAGATTTTTTATCTAAAGTCGTAAACACTTCATTTTCCTTGCTGCCTTACTGTATACTGCCCTTGAAGCTTATATGCTTTCAATTGAACTTCTGATATGTGGGGGAACGCTCTTACAAGTCGTTTGCATCCTGTTATAGGTGTCTCTCGAGCGCGAAAGCTCCACACCATCGAGAAAGGGCTGCTCGGTTTCCCCCTTTCATATTGCTATTGGCGCTCCTCCCGTTTGATTGAATTGAAGGCGCTTAGTTGAGCGTCTCTCACCTGGAAGAAAAGGATGTGAGCTGCTCCCTGCTTCTAGACACTTAATTCTTGGGACTGAGCGTCTCTACATGTTGAAGCTTCTACTTCAACCGATCCTGTTGCTCGAGCTTCTCTTGAGCATGGAAAAAGTCCGCAAGGTCATGTGATTGTAGAAAAATGCTACTATCTTTCTCCTTAGGAATCTGTGATGTTCCTTAGCTACACATCATGTTCTGTGAACTCCATATTCCAACATTTATCTCGTTGCAGCTATTCTGTGATAATAAAGCCGCAATCAGACCCAGTCCAGCATGATCGTATCAAACATGTGGAGATCGACATACAATTCATTAAGGAAAAGATTGAGTCCGGGGAGATTTGTGTTCCATATGTGCCCTCCAGTGGTCAACTAGTGGACATCCTCACCAAGAATCTGCCTCGCCCTGTGTTCGATGACTTCAATTCCAAGTTGAACATGATTGACATCTATGCTTCAACTTGAGGGGCAGTATTAGATTATAATGATTATACCTACACTGTTATTACTTATTTTCTAATTTTATTCCCCGATTATGTATTTTCACTTTTGCTTTATTTTATTTTATTTTCTTTCGTAGTTATTTTATTCTGTTGTTATTGTTTTCCATAATTAAGTTCAAATACCCCTCTTCCTATCAATGTAATTGTGTTGGTCTATTGCAAAACTCAATTGATAATTTTTTGGCATAAACTGTGGCAATAACCCATGTGGTGTTACCCTGAAGTTGGATCTCAACCAAACCCCGACACATTAGAGACACTAAGCAATCTTTGGAGTGATTGCGCTACCAAAAATTGATTATGCATAGCTCCTCCATTATCGACCCAACTCTTCGGTTACTATTGATGTTGGAGTTACCGAAATATCTTAGACTTCCATAGAAAGAATTTTGTACTACCTCGATTGTAATTTTTCCCAGTCAAGTTATCCATCCTCTTATTATATTTATTTTCACTTAATTCCATCTATCAAATAACCATTACTTTTTCTTATTTTGTCATGCTTTGCCATTTATTTATTCTTAAAAAATATATTATTTGCTTTTAGTTAATGACAATTAAAAACTCATTTTTCTCCTACCGTGTTAGGTAAGTCTTTTATGACAAGGACGATGACTTTGAAGCATCAAGATTGCTTTAATGAGCAGTCAGCCTGCACGATGTGTGCATTACTCTTCTTGTTAAACCATAACATGTTACGTTGTGTTATGAACTAATAACATTGTCTCCCACACTCGTAAATTTTATTGAATCTATTTCCTTTATCAATCACCACGTTCGATAAATGTTCAGTTGTTTTTATTGGGTTATTGATATAAAATAAATGGAGGAAATCAGATGATAGAATCCGTGAATCATATTCAAAATTATGTTAAAAAGAAAACTTGTTTGGTTGAGGTATGTGTTATATGCTTGACACTTGAATTGACTGCATTTTATGATGCCTTCAAGTTGCATATTGCTTTGTTTGGTATAGTGTTTTATTCACTCTCCTCTGCGATGCTGTTCTACTTCAATATATAATATTAGGGAAAAATTACATACATAACATTATGGATTTACCTATCTCATGTCTAAACTTTCATTTTTACACACATAGCATTTTACCTATGGATGAAAAGATGAGTTTGACTATTAAAATGTGATAATGAGTGTTACTTTTCATACGATGCTTGTAATTATGAAAGTTTAGGTGTAGATAGATAAATATGAAAGTTTTGGCTGCTATATATGTAAAAGGCCCGTAGTATTATTTACATCTTTGCTTTATAAAGTTGGGTTTTTAAAAATTTAACCGTTAACATTGCCATGGTACATTGGTTTTACTGGAAGCCATGGAGTCATTTCTCCTTCTAACTTAGTTGGTTTTGTAAAAATCAGATTAAACTACTAAATTTGATATTCATTTTTTTCCATTTTTTCATTGGTGCATTAATAGCTGATTGTATGGATCAAGCATCTGATTTTAGGTTCTTTTCAAGAAATACTCAAGACATTTATTAAGGGGATTACTTCATGTTTTCATGCTTAATTTTTTTTGCGATTTTTTCTTGCTCTTCTTTTGCATTGTCCGTTTTTTTCTTTCAAAAAGCTAATATTAAAAGTGGAATAACTGAGTTGGTGAGGATCAAGCAAATAGTTTCCTTGGCATGTAAAAAACATCTACATGATCCACGTCCTGATTTAATTCGGTTATTTGGATCAGGACCTATGTTGTATCTGAATGCTAATTATTTGTCACATTGCTAACTATAAATTCAAGTTTTTTTTTTTGGTAGATTTATTAAGTTCATATCATTTTGCATACATTGCTTAACTGAGCACTTCTTTGTGGAATTCTTCTCATTTTATTGAACATGTTTGATAATAGTTGGCTTTATTTTCATCATAAAGTAATATTGTGCTAATTCTGCTCTCCTTGCAGGATGGATCATACTCTAGGGGTCCTGTGAATATCCCGGTTGGAGAATATGATGAGTCAAAATATTTTCTATGTCCTACTTATGGGTTCGAACAAGTACGTTTTGTACTAATATTCTAATTATACATCATTTAGATTTATAATTATTTGTTTCTTTCTCTGTTTCATTGCGGTTAGGTTTTTTTTTTTTTTTTTTTTTTTTTTTTTTTTTTTTTGTCTTTAAATTTTTATAAAGATTTCTGATTTTTAATGGTTTCTGATACCAACATTTGCAGTACCTGAAATTCTGCCCACATTCTTCATTCAAATTTCTTTAACTTATTCAGCCCTAGTGTTAAGTTTTAATACTGACAATAATTGGATTAGTTTAGTAAAAATTCTTTAATAACTATTTGAGTAAGATAAAATGTGAACATAGAAAGCCCACATAGGCACCTCCACTAATGAAGTCAGAAAACGTAACATCTAAAACTTTGAATACATCTGCTAGCCTTCCAAACGATTAACTTAGCGGTAACTGTATCATACATTTTTCTTACTATTGCTTTCATGATTGACAATTGTTTTTATTTGTTGAAGCTGCACAATGAAGAAAACTTAGGGTCTGTTTGGGACAGGTTTCTGTTTGCTTTGTTTTTAGACCGCCACTAGAATTCTGTTTAGGGAATTGCTTTCTTGCTACTTTTAAGAAATTTCTGTAGTAGAAAGTTGTTTTTCAACATGAGCTGTTAAAGTGTGGTGGCTGTCAGAAAGCTGTGGTCTAACCTTTTTAAAATAAGATAAATTTATAATAGTCACCACAACTTTTTGAAAAATAATTTCTTTTATGACAACTTCACAATTACTTCTTCAAACAGCTGCAACTGCTTTAAAGAGACCCTAAGGGTGCGTTTGGGGCGGCGGCGGTGCGGTGGTTGGGTGGTGCCGCACTGCAGTTTTTTTCTGTTTGGCAAAACTGTGTTTTGTCTGCTTTTTTAAAAATCTGCAGCTGAAATATGAGTTTTGTCACTGGACTTGGCTACCTTCTGCGGCTGCTAGAAAGTTGCAATTTGACTTTTTCAAAATAAAAAAAAAAATTATAATAGCTACCACAACATTTTGAACAACAACTCCATAGTTGCTTGTTCAAACATCTGCAATTGCTCCAAACAGACTTTTAATCATTGTGCAAGTGATGAATAGCCTTTCGATAACTTTTTTGTTATAATGACTTCACTTTTGTGTTGGTCTCTACTTATGTTTTGAAATGTAAATAGATAGAATGTGACAAGATGGTGAGCAAAGTGACACAACATTGCTGGAGTTTAGCTTGAATTACTTTACTACAATCCAAGTCAATTTGACTTCTTTTGTAAAATCGGACTATGCTGATATGTCTGAAGTATTGAGATCACCAAGAGAAGCCCCTGTGTAGGTAAAATAGAAGTATAATAGAGGATGATAGATACAATTTCCACTAATACTCATTCCTTACTCGAACTCTTCATGATTTAGTTAGTAGAGATTTAGTCTTACTAAATTATTGCAAGCAAACTTATATTTCAATTTTTAAAATATTCATTTATATTAAACATACATAAGAATGCATGTATAAATGATCATCAAATAAAATGTAGAACTTTTAAAAATACTTAAATTATAAACTCGTACATACTAGAAAGGTCTATCTATTTCAGGTACCGCCATTTTTTATTAACTCCCAAAACTACACAATCAAAAGCTATACAAAATGGTACGGTCTTCTAACTAGGGATCAATTTGCTCATTTCCCTTCTTTGAAATTCAATATTATAATATCTGATAAACTTTATGCTCGATAAGCTAATTATTGATAAAATAAGATTCAAACACATGATAAGAAATAAGGTGCATATCAATGACTAATATAGGCAACAACAATAAAATAATTAAGTATATTTTGATGCTTAAATAATAAGAAAAACTTGATCTTAAGCAGTATATGCAATAGTGATTACAATAGTGATTAGAAATAAACAAAGCAACAACTGACAATTACCTTAATTCATTATATTAAACAATTTCATATATGCTTCTACTTTTATTTTCATATTAATATTCAGTGTCTTAGAAATGGCATATCATCTTTACATATATTTTGACATGTTTCATTTTATTATATTATTTTCTATCCCGTCAGTCATAATAACAACTGATAAAAGTTAAGTCATTTAATGTCATACCTATCAATGACTTTGTCATACCTATCAACTGATAAAAGCAATTCCCCAATAAACTACCCCTTGATACTAGTTGATTATTCTTCATCCTTGATATTATGAGTCGGAATTTTAATTATTTCTCTATCATGGCTCATCTCATTAGAATTTCTTTCTTTCTTTGCACAAGTTATTATTATAGCCATATACCTATCACAAATTACATGACATCTTCTTGATTATTTTACCTGCAATAATTATTTTCTTTGTAATATTTACATAACATAAATGTACCCATTAATAATCAATTTTATTAACATGTACAAGAATACTTTGTACAGGTGAAAACCAACATTTGTGTTTAACTATGCATTTCTAACAAAATGGTATGAAACTGAAGTTAAATATGGTATACAATTACATTAATTAAACTCTACTAGAATTATCTACTATGCTCAATATGGAAGGGATTTCAAATGCAAGCACATAACAAATAAAACATTTTAATGAGCAGAAGCAAAGGTTAGTCTTATGGATAATTTTTTCTTATTTTAGTAATTGAATATCTCACTTTGATTTTCTGCTTAATCTCCCTATGAATTCCTTCTCTAGACTCACCTTGAGCTCACTGACACAAATAATCTTGGTATTAAAATTTTATCTCAATTTTTGAAATTTTAAATTAAATTCCCATTAACATAACATATTTCTTATTGATGCATTTACCTCAAATTGACTTTTTCTCCTGTAAGCCTTGTCGAAATTATAACAAATTTTGGGATGATCTTGCTTAAGGCCTAAATTCCCCCACTTCTTTCTATATTTCTTCTACAGCCAAACTGATTCTTTCCTCGCCAAGCTGCACTTCACTGCAAATATAAAGGGTAAATAAAAGAGGATTTGGGTTAAATGAAATTTAATAATAACATTTATGCATGTTTATATACACAACTTGAGTACCTTACTTCAAAATGTTCAAAATTCCCGTAATTTCATACAGTTTTTACATTCCTCGTGTCTAAACCTAGAGCAGTATGTCACATATTAACTTATCTCAAATCACCCGTGCTGCTTTAGCGCTCCTCCTTGGCACTAGATCTTAACTCTCACAACGCTAAGACTTATAGTCACAAAACACTCTTAGAAGGGGAATAGGGAGAAGTATTGGAGAAAGAAGACACTTCACTAAGAAAGAGTAATTACAACACTTGAATGCTTGGAACCATGGATGGATCCAAATGAGGGGGAGGGACTCCTATTTATTGTCCCCTCCAAGCCTAAGAGAATATTCTAGCATAGCAGAGCAACTCGTGGCTCCTTACGTGTGTTAATATAAATTAAAAGTACAAAAATAGGGAGGGAATAGGGATCCTCATCTACAAACAAAATAAAAAACCCAGGGGCTCCTTTATCCACGTTACAACTCCACACCAATAGGATAAAAAGGAAAAAGTGTACCCAAAAAAACATTAAATCCAGTATACCAAAGTAATCGTATACCCCACAAAAGATGTACACCAAAAAATTAAAAAAAGAACACAAAGACCAAGTGAAGAGCTCCAAGCGGCATCAACATCACAAACTTCTGATTTTCACGAGAGAACCTGCAGTAATAAAGACAAAGGAAAGAAAGACGACCCTTGAAAGTAGAGATTGAGTTAATGAAGCCAATAAAACCCGTAAACTCAGGTGCAAAGGCTGGCACCCAAAGAAAGTACTGCAAAACCCAAAAGTAGGTACTGCCATAATTATCAGGTGAGAAGCAACCACCGCTCCAACCGAGAACCACCGAAGTAGGAAAGGAAATATAAGGACAGGCCTAATGAAATCCAAAGCCAAACCATACCACCAAATAAATAATAAAGCTAAGAGGAGACATCCCGACGGACATATTAGGCATCAATTTTGTCACCAACCAGCAAAATGTTTAAAGGAGGGGGGATCAAATCCCACCCAACAGTTATTAGTGGCTCTACCTAAGATAGCAAGCCAATTTGCAGGTCGATTTCCCTCCCGATAATTGAAACTCCATATGACATTCATATTAGAGATTAAGCTTTTAATCCTCTTAATATAATAGAGGATATCCCAAGGGGCCTCGGCACCACTGACAATAATGTCAACCAAGATGCGATTATCACATTTAAATATAATAAAATGTCATCTAAGAGAGTGAGCTAACATGACAACCATCAAGATGGCCCGAGCCTCCGCCTACATAGGAGTATCAGCATAAGAGGGAGAAGAAATGAAAAGAATACAGTTCCCTGCAAAATTCCTAGCAATGCCCCCACAGCCCGCACTGTTAGATTTCCAACTCCCATCGGTGTTAAACTTTACCCAACCCCTTGGAGGTGACCTCCATCTCACCAAAACCGAGAAAAGAGGAGATCTACTCTCAGCCATAACCACGGGCCCCATAGAAAGAAAATAGTTAATGCCCGAAAAGAAGCTTTGTTTAGCATTATCCGTTCTCCAAAGGTTATTAATATATGCAATAATATTAGTAAAGACCATTCTATTTTGAATGGCTTTACCCTCATGTATCATATCATTACAAGCCATCCAAATAAATCAGCATATAATGTAAGAGTAGACTTGCAAAAAATATTTTTGTTTACGATCCGGATTGTAAATCATAGTGGTAAGTAAGAGATTCCTCACCGAATTCATAATAGTGCCAAACCACATGTCAACTTTCCTCCAAATGAAAAGTGAAAAGGAACAAGAAAAGAAAATATGCTCAACAGTCTCCTCCGCCGAGTTACACAAACAACAACGTGAAGCAAGTCTCAACCCCTTCATTTTTAAGATATCATCACAAGGAATAACAAGTGGAAAATCCGCCAAGCCAGGAAAGACATAGAGGGAGTTAATGCCCAACTCCACACACCCTCCCCAAGGGAGCTTTTGAAAATT